CTATAAGGTTAGCTCTATAGAGCTTATTAAGTAATCTATTTATTAATCTATTAAAAATTTATTTCTTATTAAATATTACGTTATATATAGTAAAGACCTTATTTTACACTAAATACTAAATATAATATAAATTACTAGATATATATTTAATAAGAAATCTAATCTATATATAGGCAGTAAGCTTTTACTAGTAGTTTTATAATAGTTATATATTTACTATTAGTATATATACTTAGTAGCTATAGGCTTATAGATATAAAAAATCTAGCTTTACTATTAGTAAAGGCTTAGTATACTTATTAAGTATAAAATATAAGTAAAATAATTAATATAGGGATTTCTACCCCTAAGCTACTAATAGTGTTTAATTATAAAGGTATATAGCTATAGTTATAATTTTAAGCTATAGGACTTTAGGTAATTTTATATTAATCTATATATATTACGCCTTAAGTTTAATAATTATAGTAATTTACTTAGCGCTGCTGTTTTAAGCCTAGGTATTTACTACTAACAGCTTATAAAGATTCTATAATTAAAAAGTATATCTATAAGTTACTTAAGGTATAGGATTTCTTAGTTAGCCTTAATAATTTTTAGTATAATTAAATATTTAGTTTTTAGTATTATAAAGAAGCCCCTTATTATTAAGTTAATAGTATCTTAGTAGTAGCTATATAGGTAGAAATCCTATATAAGGCCTATTACCTAATCTAAGATTATTATTACTAAGTAGTATCCTATATAGCCTTATTTAAGATTATAAAAGTCTAGCACTAAGTAATTACCTAGCGCTATATTTATAATAAATTTATAAGGCTAGTAGTAAATCTACTACCTTATCTTACTAAGACTATATAAATTATAGTCTTATATTATTATAGTGTTAACTTAGGTTAAATATACTCTATATATAGTATTTATAATTCTTTATAAAGCCTTAGCACCTAGGAAGCTAAGACGCTTATACTATATTATTATATTACTATAAAGTAGTTATTACTATATTAACGTTATATATTTATTTCTTACTTATTAGGTTAGTAGTAAATTATTAGTAGAGTGTATAGTAAAAGCGCCTTTACTTTCTTAGCTATAGTTATATTACTTATAATATTTAAGCACTTATTAGTTAGCTTATTCCTTAATATAGCCTATAAGGCTATAATCTATATGCCTTAGGTAATTATTACCTAGGCTTATATCTTACTATATACCTTACTAGTATAGCCTTATAAAGGAAATAAGTAATATAGTAAATACGTTATAATATATTACGTTATATATATAAAGCTTTATTAGTAAGCTATTAGCACCTTTTAAAGTAATCTCTATAGTACTATATCCTTTAATTATAACTTAAGTAGTACTAGCCTAAATATAGTTACTAATTATAGCTACTACTAATATTATAAACTATAATATATAGTTAAATATATAGTTAGTAGTGCCTAAATTAAGTAAAGCTAAATTACCTAGCTTATAGCCTTATAAAGTAGTATAAAAAGCTACCTTTATATAGTATTTACTATATAGTTAATATAACTTAGCCTTAATTCTTTATACTTATTTAGTAAGGTTAAGATTACTTACTATATACTTACTATATACTTATTAATTTATTACTAACGTTAAGTATTTATTTACTAATTATTAGGCCTTTATAACTTATTTATAAAGTAATAAAGGTATAATAAATAAGGATTAAAGTATATAAGGCACTTTACCTTTTTACTTACACTTTATTAATAGTAATATCTCTTATTAGTTAATTTATTCTCCTTTACTATATCTTTACTATATGTTAAGTTATTATTACTATTATTTCTAGTTAGGCTAAATACACTACAGCCTACTTAGCTATAATATAGTAAGTTATTAGTAAAGGCTTTAACCCTCTCTAGCGCTATCTTATAAAAAGACTACTAGTTAAGATTATTCTAATTACCTATTATTTTACTTATTACTATATATAAATCTAGCTAAGCACTAAGTAAACTACTTTATAAAGCAGTAGTAAGGTTATTAAACTAAATTAATAGCTATTAGTAGTTAGGTAAATTAACTTATACTAATTTACTATAAGCTATATTCTATTTATTAAGCTATATAGTAAGATCTTTCTTAGTAGTTAAGGCCTTTTACTAGGCTTTTACTAACACTTTACTATATTTATTATAAGTATACTTTATACGCTCTTCTTTAGTTATTCTTACTACTACGCTAAGCTTATTAAGCTATTTAGCTAGTAATTTATTAAATTTATAATATCTTTTTTAAAAATCTATAGATATAGTAGATTTAACTATATTAGCTATATTTTTAAGGTCTTTTTACTAAGTAGTATACTTATATACTTCCTTATAATAGTAGCTTATCTAGCTATTTAAGTATATAAAATTATATAAGTTAAGATTATTTAGTATTATTATATATTTAGTTTTATATATAAGCCTATTAGGTATAGCTATAATAGCTTTACTTCTTACTATATATAGCTATATAGTTACTTACTAGGATATCTTAGTAATTACTATAGCTATAGTAACCTCTTAGTAAGCAGTAAGCTTATCCTTAGTTAAGGCGTATAGATATTACGTTATAAGTAGCTTTATTAGTTTCTTTAGATATATCTTAAGGATTAATTAGTCTGCTGCTATAACCTCTAGGTTAATATACTCCTAGAGATTATAACGCTTTACCTTTACTTAGATAGCGTTAAGCTATATAAACTAATTACTATATAATTATAAGATAGTTACCTTATTATTATAGTTCTTATTAATTATTATAATAGTATTTGATTAGTAAATAGGTATATTAGTTATTATAGATATATATATTAGACTATTAATTATTAAATAGTAAGGATTATAATAGTTAATTAATTAATTTTATTATATGTTATATATCTATAGTAAATTACTATAGAAATCAGGAAAACCCCCTATTTCTTAGTTAGGAAATCCCTAGCTAATCCTAGCGATATTATTAGTAGACTTACCCTAAAAGTAGGGCTAATTTACTGCCTATTCCCTAACAATTTACTATAGGGCAACTATATATTCGCTAGTTAATTTATATATAATTCTACTACATTTAATAACACTACATATAGCCTTATAAAGGGCAACCAGGCTAACCTCTTATATATACTTATACTTTATTAGTATATTAATATATAGAAGCCTATTTAATATATATAGAAGCCTATTTAATATATATAGAAGCCTATTTAATATATATTGTTACTATTAATAATAATAGTAAAAATAAATAAAAAGCTTAATCTTTACTTAGTAAAAAGTTAAATAATAATAAGGTATAAAATAAATTAAGATAATTATTTCTTAATTAATTAAAGGCTACTATTTTACTTAATAATTTATATAACTAGAGGTATAAAAATTAAAAGTAAATATAATAATTTATTTCTTTTAATAAAGTCTTATATAGTATTTTCTTTATATAATAGTTACCTTTTATAACTAGGCTTTATAAAGTATTATATATACTTTATTTTATTTACTTAATAATAATTATTTTTATATTTAGTAGTTTTTAAGTATATAATAATTCATTAATAGTTAATTATTCCTAAAGAGGTATATTATAATACCCTTATATATATTATATATATTTAACTTTAGTTAACTAATTTCTTTAGACTAAAGAAATAGGTATTCTAAACTAAGTATTATTCTTATATAGCTAACTTACTTAAAGAATACGTATTTCTTTAAGCTAGATTACTTATCTCTATACTATAGATAGTTAAGCTGTTTTCCTTATGATCTTTCCTACCTAAACAGTGCCTCTACGACAAATGATTATGCTTTCTATCCGAATTTGTGCATGGCTAGATATCACCTGTTTACCTACACATGCTTTTGGCGCCCTGACCCGCTCGCCGGCTTACCATTGATCAGGAATCTCGCGAGGCTTGCATGTCACTTCTCTCCCAGCTGACGGAATAAACATGGTCTGGCGAAGGAGGAAACTTTTGGCCAACGACTAGCAGGCTGGCAGAAGTACTCTAAACGTTGGCTACCCCCAAAGTAGTGGGGGATCAGGTTCTTCTCTCAAGTCCAAAGCCACAAACTGACCATAAGCACAACTGGTAATAGGAAGACGGCTTCGCTTGCTGAAATCCCAAGCAGAGGCATTATTTGCGACCTGTTGGGACTACTATAGACGCAGTGAGAATGTAGGATGAAGAGCAGACTAAAGCTGGCAGAACTGAACTCAATAGTCGCATGTTTGTTCTCGTGAATCATTGCGAGAGGCGCCTTGGTCTGGGCTACTGAGCACTGAGCAATGCCTGGGTCTTGGAATAATCTTCCAAACGTCGTTCGTAGCCAAGATCCGTCACTGAGCAGTCTATGTTGGAGAAGGCAGAACACCAAGAATTCTCCGTTAGCTCATCACAAATAGTGATAAGTTTCGCCCAGGCGATGCAGCCAAGTTCAATTCAAGTGGGATGCGAATGCAATACGTGTTCCTGGTTTTGTGGCATGTATCAAGAATCATCGAGAGGCGATTGCTGGGTTCATGTCACCACGACCGTCTTTAAAGCTGCTGGGTTGATGCAAATTAAACGCTAGTGGCAATGGTGACGCTTAGACCTATCAGAACTAGGGTGTGCGTCGAGCTAATCTTAACATTGTTGAAAGGCAAATATGGAAGAGAGCAGGCCCACCCAGATCCCTGCTCACCAATATCCCGTTCTGCTAAGCGTACTGCTTCTCATGACCATCATTATCATCATGTCGTCGTCTGTCTGTGCTGCTGTTGACAGTGAGCAGGAATCTCCACTGCTTTCCAGCGCCGCAGCCGGGCCAACACCCGGTTTGGCAGTATCAGGCCATACGGTCTAATCTATGTAGTAACAGGCAAGAAACTGCTAACAGCCAAGCTGCTGAGCAAGGCCCTTGTTTACTTGATAAAGCGGAGCCGACCTGCTTCTGGTAAGACCCATGCTAGCTGAGCGAGAACTCGGATTATGCCCCAGAGGCAAGGAGTTCTGTTTTGAAGGCCTGCCAGAATACCTCACGAGACCAGCGCGCGAGGACCTGGAGGGAAGTAACAATCTGGTAGACGCCGTAGTGATCCGCAGTGCCGCCAATGTAGACGTCGCTCAGCAGGGTCACCTGCGACTCGCGACGCAGAGCGCCCACGAAATGCCAGTAATGGCCCTGAACGATGATGCCCGGGAGAAACTGGATCGCTGACGTCGGCTTCCACCCAAGGTCGTCAAGGCTCCTCCACTGGGCCGAGAGCCACGTGCCGAGCTGCAGGGTGGCCTTGTCCCACTCCTCTCGGGAACGCTTGGTCTCAATCGAGAGTGCTATCGGGCTCCGGTCCAGCTCGCCCAGATCCGTGTGATTGATGGACCTGCCGTGGCGGCGGTCGCGGACGGCATCCACAAGCCCGCTGTAGTCTTGGGTATCGCAGTCAGGTCGTACGATGAAGCAATAGTCGATCATTTTGGAAGGGGCTGACAAAGGCTTGAAGCTTTTGAGAATCTGAGACGAGGGACTGAGGGTTATGTGTCAGCGGCGCGTTCAACGGTAACGAGACATAGAACACGGGAAAAGTAGCAAAGGAAATAAGGAGGTAGTGGGCAGTGCCTCACCAGTAGGCATAGTCCAGCAGTTCTTCAGCATCATCGGCACGGAAAAGCCAGGAGAGTATCCGGTCATGGACCTTGTTATTCCAGGCAGCCTCAGCCTCAAGGAGTGTCTCGCACTTTGCGGCATCCTTGACCGTCTTGTTGACCCAGGTAAGGGATGGGATACGCCAGTCATCGGTGCCGGCGGCCAAGGGTACGGTGTCGCTACGAAAGGCGTGGGGAGGGATCGAGGATCGTTCGTTAGGATAGATGAGATGACAGAGCTGGAATGAAGAGAGCAGCCATAGTCAGTCAAGACGCCATCGCATTGCTTGAAGGGAGGGTAAGAAAGGTTCGGGTGATGCATCCATACCTCGTTGCGATATTGAGCCGGCAGCAGGTCGATACCGTGTCTGATCTTGTCCAAATCCTGTTTCAATTGCGAGAGCGAGGTCGGCAAGGGGACGGACGTATCGAGGAAGCTCTTGACAACAAAGCCGGTTTGGTCCAGTGCAGCGCCCTTGAGCTGCTTGGTGGGAGACTGATTGCCCGACTTGTTGGTGCTACCAGACTGTAGAGAAGCAGAAGACAAGCTTGCGCGCGAAGCAAGCTTTGCCTTTGGTGTGACCATATCCGACTCGCAAGATACCCCAAGACCATCCAGCAAGTCATCTCCCCCAAACACGTCGTCGTCATTGGTGTCATCCCGAAGTCGCCGCTTCCTTGTACCCTTGGGTGTGTTGCTAAAGGCCTCCATCAAGTTGGGTGGAGTGTCCCGGTCTTGCCTGGCTCGATAAGGACGCTGCTGCACGTCTGTGTTGCGTTTAGACGTAGCGCAGCTACCTGAAGAGATGGACGGAGACAGGAGGAACTGGGGTGGCGACAAGTCGGGCAGAGAACAGTTGTTCTGATAGGTATCTCTGTAGAAATGATATCGCGGACGCTTGCAGGGATATACGCCAGGCGGCGACGACGACGACAAGGCCGGGGCGTGGCCGTCGGCAATGGTGGTGATGTTGTCGGTCGAACAAGGGCGGGGTTCAATCAACATGAGCCAGTCGAGGATCGATTGTCGACTGTCGCTGGCGGCCATCCCACCACAGTAGAGAAGGGCTGAGCTAGTGACGATGACAAGTGCTGTCGCGGTGGGCTATTGTGATCGGAACAGGTGACTTTTGGCTACGATGCGAATGAAAACTGTGCGCTCTGCATTGATTCTTCGTGAGGAGAGTCGAATTCCAACGACCAAGGCGGTTTGGTGTGTGGAGACACGACACCTCGTTGCCCCAGTGACGGGAAGGTGGGTGCAGTCGCACGTTCTGGGTAGCACAAGCCGCGTTACGCCACAGGATGGACACGGGGAATCAGTGGATCCGATGGAGTCACGTGTAAGGTCACGTGGCATCCTCCCGATCCAGCCAACCCATATCTCTCACATCACCTTCACTAGCGATAGCTTTTATCCAATCAACCACCATCGTCCTACTGTTGCTACTGCCTTGCAATATCAGGATATCCCTCGTGACACCAACATTACCGTTGGCGCTAAAACCACTCGACATGATACAGTATGTCTTCCTCTTATGCACAAGCTACAATGTTTAGGAGAGCCAGAACCTGCTGTTACGTCTGTTCCAAACGTCTGTTAGTGGATAGGGTGTTTGCAAATAAAATCTGGTATATGGGATGCCCCAGGTACTAGCAACCTGTCTTTTGCTTTCCTCCCCTCAGCTGAGGGGCAACATAACCTCCACAACACCTACAAACCGTCACATACGACCACACCCACTGGAGAACTCGGGATCCCGTCCGCTCTCCCATAGATAAGCCAGTGAGGGCCGGATTAGTAGTTGGGTCGGTGACGACCAGCGAATACCTGGTGTTGTATGTGTTTTTCTTTCGATGTGTTTTTTTATCAAGTGGTGGATAAATAAATACCTGGTGGGTGACAAGGACGCTGCATGCACGCCCAAAAGGAATACGAGGCCTTGAGGGGCGCCGCGAGATAGGCAAGTGCAGGGTTTTCCATTTGCTTCGTTTGTTGAGGATAATGATGCAAATAGATGTGACGGGCGAGTTGTCACTAGATACAAAATGCGCCAACGAGTAGGCGCTTGGCTGAATACGATCTGCTGGAGGCTGGAGTGGCCGGCGGTTGGTGGTTGCTGATTTTATACCCGCACAACATCTTTGTAGTGTGGTAATAGTACATAGTGGTGCAGGGGGGGGGGGGGGGGGGGGGAGGAGGGCGATAAGGATGCGACCTTGAGAGGGACCGCCTTGTACTGGTATGATGGCACTGGCAAGATGGCACTGACACATCGTCGGTCTAGGAAGAAGAAGCTAGAGGAATCATCACTAATCACGATAGATACGAAATCAATGCATCTTGAAAACAGGTGGTTCCGTCTAGAGCATTGACATCCTCTCCACATGCCAACATATTAGACCGTCAACTCTATCCCAGCAAAGTCTCCCCGACAGGAACAGCAACAGCCTTCCGCATTCAATCCCTCCATTATTCAGTGGCTTCAATACTCCCAAAATCGATCCCATACATCATTCCCGCGACTCTCAGGGTCCGCTTGCTAGGGGGGTTTCCAACAGGGCATCATGGGCCAGGCCGCACGTGCAGGCTTTGATGCCTCCGTCGCCGCAAGTTTTGAAGAGAACTGATGTTGCTGTTGTGCAGCCGTTTTCCTCGGCCCCGCTTGATCATGCTTGCAGTTGGACCCGCTCAGACTGACCTGGTCGTCTTTCCTCGTGTTGTGATGGTTGTTGTTGTCGTCGGCATTGACATGGTCGCTCAAGTATTGTATTCAGCAGGGTGTCAGGGTCGTTGTCTTCTCTGTTGTGGGCTTCGGGATGCCATGGGATTCTCGGCCTTCGTCGCAAGGAGCTCCTTGAGGAGAACAGAAGTTGCTGTTGTGCATGTCGCGGTCAATGCTGCTGTCGCCTTGGCGGAGTCTACCTTGCTTTGTAAGGAATTCATGGAGTCGTGTGTATCGAGGTCATACAGTCCGTTGCGTTGGCAGCGTCCAAAACCTACTTTTCAGTCCGTGCGCTGAAAACACACAAAGTGAATTTTGGCTTCATGCCAGCCCGGCCGGGCCCATCGCGATGGGCAACAGTGATGCCAGCCCATCGTGATGGATAACAGTGATGCCAGCCTATTGTGATGGATAACGGCGATGCCAGCCCATCCGGGCCCATCGCGATGGATAACGGCGATGCCAGCCCGGCCGGGCCCATTGATGGGTAACAGTGATGCCAGCCCGGCCGCGATGGGCAACAGTGATGCCAGCCCATCGTGATGGATAACAGTGATGCCAGCCTATTGTGATGGATAACGGCGATGCCAGCCCGGCCGGGCCTATCGCGATGGGCAACAGTGATGCCAGCCCATCTGGGCCCATCGCGATGGGCAACAGTGATGCCAGCCCGGCCGCGATGGGCAACAGTGATGCCAGCCCATCTGGGCCCATCGCGATGGGCAACAGTGATGCCAGCCTGGCCGCGATGGATAACGGCGATGCCAGCCCATCCGGCCCCATCGCGATGGGCAACAGTGATGCCAGCCTGGCCGCGATGGATAACGGCGATGCCAGCCCCATCCGGGCCCCTCCGCGATGGCGACAGTGATGCCAGCCCGTCCGCGACGGTCAGCAAGGATTGCCAGCCTGT